GTGTGACTTCTTGCAAAATAAGATGTATGGCCGTTTATCATGACCTATCATGCCTGTTCAGTAATTCAGCTCTGATGGTGGTTGGTGAAAATAAGAGAAGAGATGATAGAAGGCAAAGCATAGGAGTTGCAACCTCTATCAGGTTTCTAGTGCTGTATTTGTACCCATTGGAGGAATTTTAATGCCTACTGGGATTTAATCTTTGAGCCCCAGTAGGGGCAAAACATATCAAGGACAAAATAGGGACAGCTGGAGTGACATTGCCACTTGTCGCAATAAAATATGGCAAGTGAGATCAGAAGCAGTCGTGCTGCTGCTCTACATTATTTTGGAGTCAGAGGGAGGTGATGGAAACTGAAGTTTGGCTGATCCTGAGCTTATAGTATGTATGAATCTTTTGAGCAATGATCTAGATTTAATTTGGGTTCCAGAGGCACATGTACTGCACCTAGGGAGTATGACACACAAATAGGCCAATACTAAGAGCAACGCCAGCTACAGAGATGGACATTTCTTAAAAATGCACATTGATTATTTTCTTTTCCAAGAGAATATCGGACACTATTTTCAATGCCCATACATATTTAGAACAAATTCTGCCTCCTGTCATGGACAGATTTTATAATTGCAGATGAAACCCATCCATCTTCCATAGAGTCCTCAACACGAACAATTACTACATTATCATCTAAAGACGGATGCACTCTGCACCTTGACTTGTCAAATATGAAATCCTGATATGTATGCTTTGATAACCAGCACATGTAACTGATATGACCTTTCACTGGCATCTCTGATGGTTAAAAGACACTAAACAAATGTGTCATATTACCCACCTGTGGCTTGCTATCATTAATTATTAAATATATTTCAAGCATATGTCTCCCAAGAACATAAGGCTCCTGAATTGTTTTCATTCTAATTTAGAAGCCTGAGAAATCCATTGTTTTGCATGAGCCTATTCTATTGCAATGGTGGAATTCTGATCAGGCCACTTTAGAGTGGTAGATAAATTCCACAGCCGCATTCTACGAGCTGCTACTGTGCGTTAACATGTGACAGATGCCTTCACAGTAATTGCCAATCAGCCTTTGCACAGCAGCTGAAAACACAATATATCAGTTTGATCTCTCTGGGCATGAACATATTCACTATCCACAAATCTACATGAATAAAAAAGATTTTTTTTTTCTAACAACTGCAGCTAAACATTATCAAGTGTAGGCTGTAAGGAGCACCATTATTTATCTAAAAACACAGGCTGTTATCAGTTAGCATATATATTATACTGGCTGAAGAAGGCTGGATCATTTCTGTCACTCTATTACTCTTAGTAGAATTAAATGAAACGCTTATTATTTACACAGTGATAAAAGTGTAACATTAGGAGGATGAGAAACTATTATTATCATTTGTTTGTATTATTATCACCTGTTTAATCTTACAGATAATAGATATACATGACTGCAACTCTGTAAAATGGAACTGTAAATTTTAAAGTATGCTAATAGCAGAGGAGGACTGGGAACTTTTGGCCTGAGAGGCAAAGATAGCCAGCTGGACTTTATAAAGCAGGGCCAGTTTCCTTTGGGCTAAAATGCCCCATACAAAGTATGTCACATGGATTGGTGGCCATGGAGAAAGGTGGGTAATATCCTAAAGGACATAAATCTGATATTGAGAAGGAGGGGTGCAGGAGCCAGGTTGAAGTAATAAGACTAGGTTGTGGAAGAGAGGCCACTCTAACATGGTGGTCTTTGTGTTTTTTGATTTGAGACATTTACTAGAGTTTAGTGTTAGAGAATATAAAGAGGTTACAGGAAAAGAGGGGGCTAACAGTTACAAACGGCTATGAAAATGCATGCAGGTAGGATGTCCTCGCAAATTCAACAGGCTTCAGGAACAATGGCTGAAAATCCCAAGTTTATTATGCTTCCATCAGCCAAATTACTCAGAGATTACTTGACTGAGACCTGAGAGAACTATTGCATGGACTTGCTACTGTAAACATTAGTGCAGACAGCCAAGCACCTAGGACTTACCTTCCCTTTTAGGGCTCCCCAAAGGGGAGGATACTGACGGGTCATGAGCATTTAAATAGGCTATTGTTTTTTTTCTTTTGATATTTTGGTAATGACCTGGCAAACACTTTTGTAATAACAAAAGTTATTTCAATAAAAAAGCATTTGGTTAAAAGAAGAAAAAAATATGAAAAAATAAATAAATATATATATATTCACAGTAACCACATAACCAGTAACCATTACGCAAAGAGGCAGCAGAGACATAGAGGTGGTTTTCCATGTATAGTTTTTTGCCACGCATTTTTTCCCATTAGTAGTAGGAATATAACTCTCAAACACAAGTTTATTAACACATTGTCACAATATTCTAAGCCATGCTATAACCAGCAAATCAACAAATCTTTGTAACAGTGATGATCTAAGCATAGAGGCGCTGAGAGTTTGAGTTGGGTACCTACCGACTCCAGTGAAATCCAGACTTGATAGTAAAAGTTATGATTACAAAAGGCTCATGTCCACAAAGTCTGACCTCCAGTATAATAAACACTTTGTATAATAGTAAGTCATATTTGTAAAATAAAGATGTTATAAAAAGTGATATAAAACTTGAGTTTATATACATTTACAATAAAACATTTTAAATAACATGACATTGATTAAAACCTTTTAAAACATTCAGTTTAAGTTGCCATAAATAAATACACGCCCCTACTCGTTTGACTGTGTTAATAAATAATCTGCAAAAGCCTCTAATCCAGGGAATATTACACAATCTGTAGTAATTGTTTGGTCTGTAGCATGAGGGGATAAGGCATCAATGATGAAGAAAGATGTAAGTACAAAATAGACATGGTAGAACGCTATGACTTTGGCTTAGAAAAGATCAACAACATGCTTAAAGCTGAACTTCAGGGAAAACAATCCTTGAAGTGGGGCTGTCCCATCACTGCAAGGGTTAAATGTTTGTTTATGCCTAGGGTACCAGGAAAAATAACTTGTATTTACTTAATTCCTCTCTCCCATGGCAGCTAGCACTCTCCTCATTCTGATGCTCGGGTTGTGGGCGGCCCCTCTGAATCCTCATATTCAATGCAGGTCAGCTATAGCCCCTTTATTGTACTTGATGGTGTCAGAATGCCCTAGACTGATGCTCCGGGTTGTGGGTGGCCCTTCTAAATCCTCATATTCAATGCAGGTCAGCTATTAACCCTGTATTGTACTTGATGTCAGAATGCCTGAGACTGCAGAAGTGTCTTAGAGAAGAGGCTACGGGGACCATGGAGGGAGCCTGAGGAAGTGAGTGATTAGGAAAGTAAAAGTCCTTTTTACTGGTACTGGTAAGGATAAGTGAGCATTTAACCCTTGCAATGCAGGGGTAGCCCCACTGTAAGGGTATTTGTTTGTTTTTCCCAGATTTCAGCTTTCAGTTGGTGAGGCAAAACAAAATATATTAAGGCCTCATGCACATGTCTGGAAATGGCCATACGGCTTAGAAATTGGGCATATTGATCTGCTCGGGAGTCACAAGTGTATCGCAGAGCTGTGTGCAGCTAGCCTGTAGAAATCAATAATAGGGTATATACGCAGATCCCATTGTTTACATGCATACGGGGACTTGCGCACAGCTCTTCAATACACCCATTCTATACCCTTCATGACCATTTCTAGCTCGTCACATGAGGCTTTGGTTGTATTCGCTTTGTGTGCCCCCTAATGCAAGAAGTACATATTGTCTAAAATTGAAAATAGTAGCACCAAATGTATAGCCAAAAGAGAGTTTTGGTTGCGCTCACAAACATCACATTCAGGGGTCTGAAACATGTCTAAGCGGTTACTTTAGTATAGGCATGTCAAACTCAGGTAAAACAGTAGGGCCAATTAAGTGGACTGAATCTTCAAGGTGGCTGCATTATGTCTATATAGGGCAGCACCTACTTCATTCCAGACACAGATTATAGCACTTCAGAATTTAGCATTCTAGTACAAACTGCAATTTACAAGTTTTAAAGTGCAACTTAAGCCAGACTTTTTTTTTTAGTTTTCAATAGACTGGAGAAGAATTAGATCATGTCAGGTTTTTATTGTTGTCTGTCTCCCCATTAGGGAGATTCACACTCATTATTTGTCCTGGTGACCTTTATCACTGAACGTGAAAAGAGATGGAGAGGATGGAAAATCATGGGGACACCAGTCCTGGTGACACTGCTGACCACCAGGGATTCCCCTTTATTAGGATATCCTCTCACTTCCTGTTCTGGCTATGGGACTTGAAGCAAAGGCAAAACTCCACAATGGGGCACAGATGACAAAAAAAAAACTGACAGGGATTCAAACTCTCTCTTACTTTACCCAAAACTAAAACAAACTTTAATCCTTGAGAAAGGGGTCAGAGGGAACAGCTGAGGGTGCATTTTTGCTTTTTTATCCATAAACCACTGAGCGCCACAAGGAAAGATAGAAAGGACTGCATTTGTCCCAAAAACAAAACAGTTTGACATGCCCTTCTGACACCCCCTGGGCAACTGAAAAATTGAAGGAGCTGCGTGGAAAAAAGGCACATAAACAGTAACTGCAGCCAATAGCTACATTCTTTGTTTTGAGCATACTGACACCTGGCAAAATACAATAGCTACCGGGGGAGATTTGAGGATGGGGGAATCAAGTGATTGCTCACTGGTCTGATATATCTTTACATGTATTGCCAGCCTGAGTTTTCACAGAACAAAAATTATGTTGCAATTGTACAGGTTTTCTTGTTGACGCCCTCTGTCTGAAAAAGCTGGACTGCCATAGTGATAAATGCAAGAGGAATATCAAGACATGGGTTAATTTGAAATGAGATATGGCATATGACACTTTTTATCATGGAATTTTTTGCCTTCGAGGAATGTGACAAGTTTTTGCTTTTTGTCATCACCTCAACAATCCTCAGCAGACTTAAGCATACATGGCATATAAGAAAAAACAGTGACTTACATTTTGCTGGTAGCTGATACCCGCAGGTAATTTTAGCTTGTCCCGTAGGGCAGCCTCCCAATGAACGACATTCAGCCATGAGATTAGGCCCTGAAGCTCGGTGTATACAGCCATCCACTGCCAATGACAAGAAAAGCAAAGGCTTTTTAGTATACTCTACACAAAAGAAAATTAAATGAATCATGCATTCCATTGTACAAAATCATAAAAAAGTCTCAAATGTTACTGAGAATGAAACAGAGAATAACATGTGAGTTTAAATAACAAAACAGAGTCTCACATCCCCGTGGCCAAATAATGCTCATTGCATGAATAATGCACATCAATTACAAGCACTTCAGATGCTTCAGATCATATATTTATATTTCAAAGTTATATGAAAAGAAACGCATTAAATATATATGCTGACAAAGTGACAATACATTCTACAAAGCTTTATTATTTTATATGCAGACTTTTAAAACTAACACTGAGAACGACTGTACACAATGGTATAATAAGTGGCTCTAAACACAAAAATAAAAGAGTAGGGAAGGTGGGCGCTGTTTCTTCTTTTCTCAAAGATGAAGATTATTATGTATTTATATGTAACCGAGAGAGTAACTATGTGTGATTGGGCCCCACAGAAAAACAATTAAGGTCCCCCATGCCCCTCTCTACTCAAAGATAAGAGGATGTAACAGCCATGTCCTTCCTCTGCCTCTCACGTATTGGATCACATTAACCCTACCAATGTCAATATGCATGTTGACATTCCTGTTTGTTTGAGTCTGAAGACTTGTAAGCTTTTATGCTTTTAATACATTTACCACACCAGAAGAAAGTATTCTCTGTCTAGAACTCTGCATATGCTGGTCCACTGATGTGGGATTGGATGTTGCTTTTGAAGCTGCAAAGCGAGGAATCCATAGCTAAATGGTGACTGCTGGAAGGAAATGGATGGTGCCCAGAGAAGGAACAAGATCAGACTGCTAGCTTATATGCGGTAGATCGTCACACAATCCCACACGTACATACTGACCTTTCTTTCTCTCACACACCAGCAGACTAGAGTGTGAGCAAAGGAAGCATTACAAAAAGCAAATCCGTTTTTAAGTATTTTAAATGTAAGCAGCGTAAGTACCTGAATTTGGCCTGGTATCAGCCTCTTTCAGTACTTGTATAGCTAAGCTGGCATGTGGGAGGAAGCAGAAGCATAATGAGCCAATCAGCTCATGTGATGACAAGGAGTATGCTTATAGCAACTAAAGTCAGAGTGACAAAAAGATGAGCATCACTGAGCTGCTTCTCTTTTCACTGTCCAGTCACAGGCTGGGGAGAGTCCAGGGTGAGCTGGGCTCATAGGAAGTGGGTTGAATGATGCTGCCTAATAGGCTGAGGTGACAAAAAAAGTACTACAGGAGAAATCTCTAGATGAATAGAGACTATTGGAGCAAAAGCTTGTTTTGATATCTTATAATAATATTTATCTTGTTATTTTTGGCTGGAGTTTTGCTTTAACAACGGATGAGATATAAGTCCCACAGGGAGTGTGCTCAACCAACCAAATCAAACTTGCATGGTATGAATCACTATAGCGCAGTCCTCTAATCTGCATATGTTAGCATATATATCTGCATATGGCAGAACCGGTACGAATACAATTAGAAACTTTTTTAAAAAACCTATAATAAAGTAACACACATTGATAATGTCACATCAAACCAAACTCTTTAATATGTATATAAAAAGACTGAAACGACTATACAGTATATTCCATTTAATTAATGAACATCTAACTTTCAGATACTTCATGTTTATGTTTCATGAAGAAGCTAGTAATCATATACTGCATGTTTACGCATTCTTATTTTATACATCCCTTTATGCTGCAATTTAACATGTAAAAAAATTCACATTAATAAAAAAAGAAAACAGCCTGTCCATATAAACAGAACAAATGTATATTAAACATCTATCTAAAGATTAAACAATTAGACAGTAAAAAAAAAAGGCAATGTCAAATAATAAATGCTGGATAATGTTCTTAAAATACAGCAACAAAAATATCCCTTCCATTATCCAAAAATAATACCTAAATATGAATTGCTATACTTTGTCCGAAATTATCTAACATTTACTTCAAAGTCATTTTAATCTTCCTGCCTCGACAAAGACGCACAAAGCCCTGTTTACCCAGGACAGAGCACCTAGGATTACGTTAAACATGTGTAGTTTATGTCATTAACATGATAGATGTCCAATTACAATTATCCTGTACTTCTGATGTACTGCCAAACCCACCGGGATCACAAAGAGTTAAAGGACTAGCATGTGCTCATTTTTGGAAAGTTGGCTTGACTCAGCTAATGCTATTCCCATTCCACTATTTTTATAGATCAAGACTGGAAATATTTGACACATTTTTCCTCAAGCCGAAGTCTATGTGTATTAGCATCTGTGACCAATGGCATCTTTTGAGCATTGTCCTGGGATATGATATCACTCAGCCCGGCCCTCACTGGAATGTCACACTATATCAAAATGCCTCGTCAGTGTACACATTGAAAGTCGACAGCCTGTGATCTATGACCATTAAATTCTCAGGGAGGGAGACAGACAGTTGTGATAATATACTTATTATAGAGAATTCACTCATTCTCTCATGCTAACAAATGTTTTGGATCATCTCCATATTGATGGGCTTAGTGGGGTCAAACATGGTCACGTCTAGCTTTGCTGTTAGCCAAAACTAACGATATCCAAAGCTGTGAACTTGCTACATAATATGACCGGTAGATTCTTTGCACTGTGACAATTCCTATACAGGGAAGTGGGATTATTCCGCACAATATCTTTAGGAAAAACTGCTTTCCAAAACTGGTCCTATGAAAGATATTTGATTTTCTTAATGTCTTTTTAAATGCGGAATATACCTATAAAAACACTCACTGAGGGGTGCATGCGCGCGGCTGTCGATGACGGGTGGTGAGTGAGACAGCTCCGCAACTCCTCCGGACATAACCCCTATTAGCACGGAGCACATAGCTCTTCATCTGCCGAAAACCACGCACCCTACCCTCGGTGCAACACCCGGTGCCCGCCATGTCGCAATCTAGATCCAAAACCACACAGAAAACCAAAACTGCAGGCAAGCCTATAGCAGAGGCATTGGCCCACGCCTCGGCCAAAATGGCGTTGTCTCCCGCTGCACGTACAGCTCCCTCACAGGCTGTATCAGCCTCCAGCAGTGACATGGATGACGATGACCAGATGAACCCACGCCAACAGATGCGCTCACAAACGGCACTTTTACAAAAATTCGACGCCATGCTGCAGAAGGCACTGCATGTTCAATCCAAGCAGATCACAGATCGGCTATTAAAGGAGATACGAGAAATAGGTCACCGCACGGCGGCCCTTGAGGACAGATATGATAATCTCACTAACGACCTGGCAGATCACACAAAAGAGATTGACACTCTCAGAGACGATAATAAAATCCTAGGTCCCGCCAGTCGAACTTGCGGATTCGCGGCCTCCCAGAACACATCACGGACCTCTTTTCCACTGCATTAGCTCTTTTCCAAGAACTGGCACCAGAACTCCCGGCTGAACGCCTGGAAATGGATAGGGTCCACCGCACTCTGACCCGCAAAAAACCAGACGGCCCACCCCGCGATGTACTGGTCAAACTTCATTACTACCGTACAAAAGAAACCCTCCTCGCGGCTGCCAGACGGAAGGCCTCCCAGGCTCCGCCATGAATTTCAGCTGTTTAATGACCTGGCCCCATCTACCATCGCCAAGCGGAGAGAGCTGAAGCCCTGCCTGGAGGTGCTGAACAAGCATCATATCTCCTATAAATGGGGATATCCCTTCCATCTCTTCTTTACTTATGGCGGAAGACAACAGTCCTGTACCAACCTGGAGGAAACCCAAGCCAAGATGTCCGCCCTCGGCCTACATGACCCTCGTTCCGCGGCGCAAGGCCCATCCACCTCTCCGGCCGTCTCTACAAAACGCAACCGCAGTAATTCTGACCACAATCACTCGGGAGAGTCCCGAGGACCAGCAACAAAGATGACACCTAGGCAAGGCCCGTCAGACTGATCACCTTTAATCCTACGTCAGGTATTTATTCACGTCGACATCCTGTGAATGAAACTTCCATTGAGTTCTACAGATGGACACTTTGAAGAAGCCTCCACCAATCCCTACGGGACTTTTCCCTTGGCAGCAGTTCCCTGAGGCAGAATTAACCGACCCCTGATGTTTCGGCCCTCATTTGCTCCCCAACTCTGTTACTGCTACCTGTGGTATGAGCGCCCACGAAAGAACTACTGTGCAAGTACTTGTTGCAGGTATGACCCCTCACCCTTGGGCATGGTTACCTGCCAATGTTATCCAAATGGTTAATCACTTCGGAGCCTGCAGCGAGCCGGATCTTATGACACACATGCCCCTGTGGCGCTTACTGCATAGCTGGTTTGTTGGGGGGAGATGCGGGGGGTCAGACTTGGGGATCACACAAGCCGAGCAGACTCAAATGACCCCCTGAGGGCACCACTGTCTTGATCTATGCTAACCCTGCTAGAGTGAAGTTAGCCTCCTGAGCTCTTGTCACCTAGTTCCAATTCCACTCGCAGATTAGAACACCCATAGCCAATGACCACGGAGGTACCATATAGAAACCACCTATAGCTTGACCCGATTCCTGAGTCTGGCCTCCCACCTCCCTCCCTATACGTTTAGTAAAGTGATTTGTTGCACTTGTTATAATGTTCTCTAGGCAATGCCTACATGTTTTACCTGCTCTCATCCAGGTCTACTTAAGTATTAATGCATCCGGATATGAACACTAGAGTTATTGGATCCTACTCCTTGTGAAGTTTTCGGTATATTAACAAATAAGGTTGTCCAGGGGAGTTAGTCAATGTGCTCCCTCGACCTTGGGTTGTCAGGGATCGTATGGACCCCTCTTCCCAATGTTACAACATTGACGCAGATTTTATCCGCCTGCAGTACTTACTGCAAATAGTTTTTTTTGTTCTTGTTATAACCCTGTACCCTCTGTCCCCTTCTCTTTCCTTTCTCACTCCTTCCTCTCCCCCTCTGTCTCCTCTATCTCCCTCCCC